TAAAGGAAGAAGAGAGAAAAAAAGTCTGACGTTATATGGAACTTAAATATGTAACTATCATATTGAGTCAGCCCTTTTGTACTTGTTTTGGAAGTACTAATTATTCTTGAATTTTTCTTAGGGAAAGCACATATTAGATGAAAAAAAATGATTAGAGTCAACATCAGATGAGGTGGATGTGATACTGATAAATAAACAGACAATCTGATAGGGAGTAGAACTATCAGTTGGATCCAGGAGCTGAATGGTACCTCCAAATTCAGTGGCCTACTGAAGATGAGGAACAAGGGAACAACTAGACCTTGTACCCAGCTCACAAGTATCGCAAAGCATCTGCTGGCTGCTAGAGAAGTAGAAGCCCAAATCAATGGGCCTAACTTGAGAGTCAATTCTTGTATAAATATCTCATCCAGATATACACACATCATCCAAGGAAAAGGTACAGGGTGACATGAAGTACAGAAAACGAAATTCAAAGCCAGTTACCTTAATGTTCTTCCGGTGTCCTGTTCCCATGTTACTGACAACCAGGGGATGGGTTGGAAAAGAGTCTTCTGTTGCTGCACTGGGCATGGTATTCTCAATCACATTTAGCAGACACGGTGAAAAGGACTGTTGCAGATTATCAAACAGATCTGCTTCAAGGGTTTTCATCCAAACAGGAGCCTTTAAAAAAGCAGCATATTAGCCATTAATTAGGGGTTTAAGTTAATTCAGGCTAACATGAAACGTTTTGAAAGCCAGCATAAAACCAGTTTAACCTTCCTGGCCTGGAAATTGTCCCTTTATGAAGGACCAAGGCATTCTTGTGTGAAATGCTTAAATCCTCCAGAAATAATTATTTCCAGAGTTCTGTCAATGAGAATTTGGTTGAAACTGATTTAAGAAGCGCATGTATTAAATCCATGATTAAATCAAGGAGTCTTGTACTGCTTGGATTTGACAATATATAGAATCGACTCAGGGGGACGCGGTGGCGCAGCGGCTTAATGACGCTGAAAGTTGCCGGCCAGAAATGGTCGACGCTTCAGCGG